TGATTTATGTGCCCCTGGATTGATCAGGTGTTAAATTTACTAGCTAATTTTTCAAACTATATGATTACTGGTGGCCTATATTACTCATTAATTACTGAATAATCTGGATATCATTGTTAAATGTAATTAATTACATTTGTAAAGTGCTTAATTTGTTTTTGTTGCATGGCCTTGTTAGTGCACTTCCTTCTTTTAACCTGCTAGAGGGGCAGTCTTGGGCTTAGAAGCGATTTGGGAATAATTTCTTCTCATCTGTTTTGATGTGCAGTGTTGCACACACAAGATTGTAATGCTGACGACTTAAAACAATTCAAAGTGTACGCCTGCTTCTCTTTTAGGATAACAACTTCATGACATCTCTGGAGCTGGCAGTCAGATTTGGAAAAACTCTGGTCATCCAAGAGATGGATGGTGTTGAACCCGTGCTCTATCCACTACTGAGGAAGGACCTCATTGCACAGGGTAACAACACGCACCTACCAGCTACAGCATGGCCTTCTTAGAAAGTTTAGTTGATGAACTCTTTTGAGCAAAGTTTGTGTTCCTCTTAGATTTGGAGTTGTTTTTTGCGATCCTTAATCAGCTTTTATTTTACCATTTCTCTGCCTCTGTACTCCAGTTTGCCTGTGATGTTCGATTCATTATTCTGCATCTGCTTGTTTCATTGTAGTGTGACAGAGTTTGTAAAGAATACAATTTTAACCCAACTGCATTTATGCTTAGATGGAATCAGCTTGCTGTGCTCTGTAATGCATTCATTACTTTCTTAAATGCATTCAAGCCCTTGAATCATGTCTAATATAAAAAACAGAGTAGACCCACAAACTTCCATCCTTTATTTCCCTGTAGCTCTTTTGAAGCCTCCATTGTAACCGCTGATATTTTCTATTCTTGGCTTGTTGTCAGTAATTACATACCAATCACATACATATTAACAAAGATTGGAAATCTTATCTGTGGAAACAAGCATGATTCATCCAACTCTGAATCATCCAGTGAGAGGAGATTGTCAATTTGAGGCTGAATTGGAAAAAGCAGAAACAGAAAATCTCTGCAAAAGGGTAGGTTATTCACTTAAGTGCTGCTTAGCGTCTTGGAGAGAAGGAGGAAGGAAAAAAAAGAGTCCAGGCAACGGCATTGAAAAACTGCACTGCAGTCTTGTAGAAGACAGAAAGTAAATGAAAAAAATATGAGAATAGACAGAATTTTAAGTGGCCATTATAAGAAAAAGTTACAAGTCTGAGTGGAACAGTATGTTGTAATTCACCACCTTTAACGTTCACACACACACACCTGCAGGTCCCAGGTATGTGGTTCAGATAGGAGACAAGGTTATTGATTACAATGAGGACTTCCGTCTCTTTCTGGCAACTCGGAACCCCAGTCCCTTCATCCCGCCTGATGCTGCTTCGGTGGTTACAGAGGTCAACTTCACCACCACCAGGGCAGGCCTGCGAGGACAGGTACCCCAGCTAACACACTTTTTAAACACAAGTACAGAAAATGGTTAATTTGGGAAATATTTTAAAAAAAATACTGTACTTAAAAGTGTGCTGCATAGTTTTCTTATCCAGCTGAGATTTTGACTCCCTGAGCTTCATGAGAATTTCCTAACAGAAAAGAAAGGCTTTTTCAGAACATAGAAGTATTATTGCACACACTTTTTTTGTAGTTTTAGTCTCTTATTTTTGTTCATTTTGGGGTGTTTGTTTATCAGCTGCTAGCCCTAACCATCCAGCATGAGAAGCCAGAATTGGAGACTGAGAAAACAAGACTGCTGCAGCAAGAGGAGGACAAGAAGATACAATTGGCTCAGTTGGAAGAATCTTTGTTAGAGGTACTTCTTGCCATTCATATACCTCACATGTTTAACAGTCCAGAAGTGTATAATGGAATGTGTGTTAAAAAAAGAAGAAAAAAAAAGGTATTTCTGAGCTTGGATTTATTAGTTTCCCCCTGCACTGCAGACTTTGTTGTTGCTAAGTCCCACTGCTGCTCTGACAACAAGGTTGTAGGCAGAATAAGGCACACAGACCACGCAGGAGCAGTTGCTAGTGCCGCAATCAGTATCCCTTCCAAATATATAAGCTGGAACACTCTGCCAAAGCTGGAAGCACCAGTGCTCATTATTGATCCGATGTCTCTGTGGTGCTGGAATAGTGCTTTCTCTCATGCACCCCCCCCCCCCCCCCCCCCCACACACACACACACACACACATACACACACATGCACACACACACTCCTCTTAATCAGTGGGATGCCTTAGGGAGCTTTAATGACTGTGCTTTTACTTCAGCTCAGTTCACTTCAGTGGGTCTGGGGAAATTTGTATTTAAACACCCAGAAGTGTTATTTTTATTTTCTTATGACAAACTGAAACGGATACAGACGGGAGCAGTATTCACCTGTGATTGTACATCTCTGTGGCTCTAAGCAGAAATGTTTGGTCTTCTTTATTCAATTATGTTTAATAGTGCACATGTTATTTCTTCATGCTATTAAAATCTGAATAACTGAGACACATAGTAATGAAAATATGCAACCAAACACCCAGGATGTCACCAGGGCTTCTTGTAATTTCTAAAAAGAATTCCCAGTTAACATTAGTTTAAACATATTGAGATTCAGATTTGAGCACAGTGTAGTTGGACGTTTTGAGACTCAGACGCTTGACCAAAAAAAAACTTATTTTTAATGTGTGGTTAAAGGGACATTTTGGTCACACACTCACCACCTCACCACCAGCCTGATGTCAGTGCTTCAGTGATACGAGACATGTAATTATTCTTGAATGGTAGCAGCACATTCGACTTGACATTTCCATGCTCCACCAGTTTCTCATCTATTTAACTTGAATTTATTTGAATAAATTTTATCACTTGGTTTCAGAGAATAGATTCCACAGGAAATTAGCGGGACAGAGTTGTAGAGCTCAATTAACGCTCATTTAAAAAGAATGAAAAACGTTTTGCAGAAGGCTGTTACTCTTCAAAGATCCCCTCCTTTTATTTGAGATCACAGACTTCAGCCAAATGACAGAAACCTGATGATATGCTCTCTGTCCTCCGTTATTTGATCTCCTCATCTCTCTCGCGCTCCCCTTCCTGTCGCTCTCATCTGTTACAACATGTCCATCTGTTTGCCTTCTTTTACTCTGCCAGACGTTGGCCACGGCTCAAGGTAATATTCTGGAGAACAGGGAGCTGATAAACAGTCTGAACCAAACCAAGGCGAGCAGTGCTCTGATTCAGGAGTCGCTGGTGGAATCGCACAGGCTGCAGGCATCTTTGGACCAGGTACTGAGTGCCAGCTGGGCATGCTTAAACACACACACACACACACACACACACACACACACACAC